AAACATTGTTCGGACATTCGTGTCCCAATACTTTTGTTTTCATCAATAGAGAGGAGAGACATCGGTCAGTTGGCTTCGCAAGGTCTTTCATCGAGTGGCATCATTTCCTCTCCCCGATTCCAGCGAGTAATAAGTTTAGTTTTATTATATATATATAGTGCTTTGAAGTTTCTTTAGCGATTGGATTGGTTTTACGGGATAGGGCTGCTAGCCCTATGCCCAACCCTGCCTCTTTATCCGGGCTGCGGACCGGCTAGTAACTAGTTAACCAGGTGAGGTTAGGTGCTAAAGCTGACACTGTCCACTGTATCCCCCTCCAAATACAGTCGTTTGTGAAGCTGGTGGACTATCAGGTTCACTTAGAGTAATTGGTAAGTGGCAAAAGAGACGATGTTTCTTCGTCATTTTTACTTATGGTCAGATGAACTGCGACGCTGATGCTTTTTAAGTTCTAATGTCTGCTTAGTGACCTCATCTAAATGCGTTGGATATATGTCGTATTGCTTACTTGGGACGTAAATGCACAGGTCATGTGTCTCCACTTAGAGGTGAACCATTGTAGGTGACCATTTAAGAATCGTTGGTCACAATTCTGTTAACGGGGCCTGTCTTCTGCAGCTGTGTGCAGACCACCACCACCCAGCTACCAGCTGTTGACACAGTCGTTGCTGTCGTACTGGCTGGTGTATTCTACTTCTCATGTGTTTAAATTACAATTGGCTGTCGATTGCGTGGTTCACTTGGAACTTCCGTTCTATTTTTGGACCTCTTCGAACTGTAATCATGTTTTATTGTGTCAAATTCATCTTGCGTTTTTGTGGTTATCGTAACCGTAGTCCAAAACAGGTTGACGTAATCGAGTTGGTCGTACCCAGCACTACAAATAAGTACCAAATCCAAGACCAACGTCGAAGTTCCAGAAAGTATCGGTGAGCATTTATTGAACCCACAAGATGCTATAAAAATGGCAAGTGAAATAGCCTATGGGTTCTGCTGACAATAACTTTATTGCTTTGTGTTGGCTGTCATCTTGATGCTCATCACCTTACTTCAGTGAACGGCAGGTGTGGTGGTATACGTAACTCTCCTATGCGAACTGTGAGGCTCAGTGATCAGAATATCCTAGTTAGATGGGGATTGTAGATGCATCTGGTAGCACTTTAAAAGCCGTCCCAGATCATCTGAGCTACCTGTAGAGAGAATTCTTGTGTCAATCAGACGGTCTATAAAGTAGTTAGTATGTCTGCCGACAACTTTAAAGAACACTGGATTGAAGACTTTGAAAGTGACATAAACCTTTGTGCCTTGTGTTCCATAACCATTTGACACCGACCCAGTTACCGGAGTAAAGATTCGAGGAAAATCATAGATTTTAGGGCTCTAAAATGCACCCACAGATCTCTTGAAGGGGCCCATTAGATTGTTTTTGAAGGAAAGACAGACTAATAGTGACTCCACTTCAGGATGATGCAGTCGCTATTTCCATCCTTAAAAAGAGTTCAAATAATGTGTGACGATCATGAGTATCAATTTGTTACCAGTTGAGTCAAAAATACTAGCTGCTGTCATTTTTAGTAAGATGCGTGAGCTGATTGGTATGGTAAGGAGCATGACGGGTTCACTTCAGCTCGTAAACTTACTGATCATGCGTTCACTGTCTGATGAAATACTATGCATAAAAGTGTGACTGATAAGATTTCTAACCGCATATAGAAAGCTAGAGCGGCATATTTCGATCTGAGTTAGCCTTAGCCCCCAAGATCCAGCCGTAAAATCCCAAATGTACAGCGGATCGATGCCAGTGAAAACTAGCCACTAAGATGAGCGTGTCCGATGAGCCCGCTGGTATCCAATGCAAACACTATGTAAGTGATTGTGAGGTGCGGTGACACGTGTTTAGGTTTCAAATATATAGACAATCATTAAGCGAAGTTAACTTGGAACACTGGCTTCGGCGGGTTGAACATGTGTCTGTCATATCGCTCACTATTTGCCAGGCCTGGACATAGTTGGAGGAAGCGGAGAGGTGATCAGTATATGACGTTGGATGAAGGATAATTATGTTGAATTACCGACTGTAGGTACCTCATGACTGACTGGATGGGGTACGAGGAATCACGCAACTCATTGGTTTTACATGATATCATATGCGGCTAAGAATCAAAACCAGCGACAGCCAATATGGTTTTCATGTGTTGTTTCTTATTCAAAAGTAACTCAAATCCAGCTAAAGATTTCTTAAACGCGTGTGTCACCCATTTTTCTCATCTTTTGGCTCTACTTTACGGTCTCGTCATATTACGTCTTTGGTGCCGTTGTCGTCCTCAGTTTGTTAAAAGTAGGCAAATCAAAGAAGTAAGTAGGAAACTGGCTCTTCACCTTACACATTTTTAGGAACAGCGTTTCACCAAACCACTTTTGATGAATTCTTTGGGCTATGAAGTATGCAAATAGTAAATTTTGAGATAATAATCACGATAGTAGTAATTATAGTATTTTTTTGTAGTGATGGTAAGAATAATGAGGACAGCATGGTACTGCTGACATCTGAACGGTGAATGGTAGGTCAAAACTGAGAAAAGTAAAAGTCCTGTAATACTAAATAATGAAGTAGAAAATTAAAGTGCAAGCAAATAAGACATGTATGTGAAAGGGGTTTGACAAGATTAAATTTATCTTTGAAGTCATCTATTAAGTTTTCGCTGGCCAAGGCAGACATAAGGGTTGTCGAAACTTTTTCTGCACGCAAAGAGCAGGGTTATTTTCTCTCATTTCTGTAACCTCGCCCGGTTAACTAGTTCACTAGTTACTAGCCGGTCCTAAGCCCGGGTAAAGAGGGAAGGTTGAGCATAGGCCTAGCAAACCTACCCCGTAAAACAAATCTAACCGCTAAAGAAACTTCAAAGCACAAACAAAATATAAAAAATGAAAACAAACTTATTCCTCGCTGGAATCGGAGAGGCGAAATGACGCTGGTTGATGAGAGCCTTCGGGAAGCCAATTCGCCGATGTGTCTTCTCTCGATGAAAGCGAAAGTAAACGTGGGGACATGGAATGTCCGCACGATGTTTGAACCCAGCAAGGCAGCCCAGATTGCAAAAGAGATGAGAAGGCATGGCATGCAAGTGCTTGGAATTTGCGAAAGTAGATGGAATGGGAGTGGACTCTCCAAACTGTCAACTGGAGAATCAGTAATCTACTCCGATATTGTCACCCAGACGACAACCACGAGCACACTGAGGGAGTGGCTATCATGATGTCCCCAAGAGTGTCGAAGGCTCTCATGCAGTGGGAACCAATCTCCTCCTGCAGGATCATGACAGCAAAGTTCAACTCAAAAGGAAGGAAGGAAGGTCACAATCATACAGAGCTACGCTATGCACCTACAAATAATGCAGAGCAAGAGAAAAAGGAGGAATTCTACAGACAACTGCAATCAACACTGGACAAGACGTCAGTTGGCGATATCAAAATTCTAATGGGTGGGGCGACATGAATGCCGAACTGGGAGGGGACAACACAGGAAGAGAACTAACCATGGGTCGAGAAGCGCTCGGTGAGGTGATGAACAAGAATGGAGAATTGTTTGCAGAATTCTGTGCATTCAACGATTTGGTGATTGGAGGCAGTGTGTTCAAGCACAAGGATATCCACAAAGCGACATGGATTTCACCAGATACAAGGACACACTGAAAGCCAAATCGACTTTATCTCAATCTCAAGAAAATGGAGATGCAGTTTACTTGACACAAGGTCAAGAAGAGGAGCAGATGTAGGTTCAGACCACTCACCATCTAGTGCAAGGAACCTTCCAAATCAAGTTAAAAGCCTTCAAGGAAGCTGGTGATAGACCGCAGTTCAAGTACAACACTCGGAAACTGAAGGATGAAACTACAAAGGGAATCTTCACGGCAGCCATCAAGACAAAATGGGAGATATCGAGGAACATCCGTGAAGAAACCTGTGTGGAAGAACACTGGAAGTCTTTGAAAGCTATGTGGAAAGAAACCTGCACAGCCGTATTAGGAAGGAAGAAGGAAAAAGACAAGGAATGGATCTCGACGGATACCTGGAAGCTGATAGAGGAGAGGAGGATGGTGAAGCAGAAGATAAACCAGTGCAAGGATGCTCAACGACAAGAGGAACTGAGCACAATGTATAAAACACTACACTGGACAAAGAAGTGAAGAAGAGTGCACGCAAAGACAAAAGACACTTCTACGAAACACTGGCAAGTGAAGCAGAATAGGCTGCAGATAAGAGAGACCTGACGACAATGTATCAAATAACCAGGTTGCTATCTGGGAAGAGATCAACACAGACGAAACCAATGAAAGATGATGACGGAAATTTAATTACGAAGGAAGAGAAACAAAGGAAACAATGGGCCGACCACTTCAAGAAGCTCTTGAATCGACCACTACCACCACTTGCACTTCGTCCAGAAATACCACCTGCAGCCGCCGAACTACAAGTGAACATAAATCCT